AGGAACCAGACTCGGTCCATACCCGGCGGCTGAGGAGTGTTTGGGCCATCTGCTGCCTTCCCAGCTGCATTAGCAGGGAGCTGGATTAGAAGTGGAGCAGCCAGGACTGGAACCAGCGCTCGTGTGGGATGCTGGCGCTGCAGGTGGCGGCTTACCTGCTGCACCACAACACCAGCCCCCTCATATCATCTTCATCCTCACAGCCAGCCCAGGGGACAGGAAAGCTACCGTCACTTCTCAGATGGGCAGTGGGGAGGTCTCACACACACATAGGCGGTATGAGATGGAGGTGGTGTCCCACCCAGCAGTGAGGGGGCCTTGGTTTCCAGTCCCAGGCTGACCACACAGTTCCCTCAGAGCAAATCCCTGAAAGATCAGGCACGGTTGGCTGGTCTGGGTTCCATGCTGTCATCCTGGAGCAGCAGAGAAGTCTGGAGTCTTCCAACGAGGCTGCACTTGGCAAAGGACTCTCCTAACTCCTTTGTGAATCACTGCTCCACCCATTGCACCTGCAGCCTGGGGCCTGGGGGTACCCTGGCCCCCAGCTTACAGATGAAGAAACAGAGGTGCAGGGAGCAGATTGCAGTCCCCAGCATCGCTCAGGTCTAAGTATTCCTCAATGCCCACAGTGCCCCAGTTCTCTTATGATGCCCGACTCATGTCCAGGCTGCTCTTCTGTCTGCATCCAGGACTTGGTGCCCAGCAGGACAGCCTGGCCGACCAATCCCCAGGCCTCAAGGTGCACCTGAAACACCCCCTGCACATTCCAGAAGGCACTCCGGCCATTGGACTCAGGGCCGTGTGCAGGGCAGGGGCAGGGCAGGTGCAGGGACCTCCCTGAGGGCGGTGTGAGGCTGGGCTGGACTGGAGCATCTGGTGGGGCTGTTTTGTTCCTTGCCTGCATGACTGAGGACTTAAAAATCAAGGTCGGAGGCTGAGCACAGAAGAAGAGGGAGGATTTTCCACTGGTGGTCTCTTCACTATCTCTTTTGAGAAGTCTTAATCCCTTAATCACTTTTATTAATCTCATAACAATCTTTCCAACATCACTTACATCCTTCTTATCTGGGTTAAGCATTTCTGTGAACTCAGAGCTTCTTGTCACTTGGGGAATTTCTCCTTCTGCTTAAGGCACTCGCTCTCTCTCCCTCTCTCTCTTTCGCTCCCTCTCTCCCTCTCTCTCTTTCGCTCCCTCTCTCCCTCTCTCTCTCCCTCTTTCTTTCTACCTATGCTGTAAGAATCCAATAACCCTTGCATTTCAGAGCTGGCAGGAACCTTCACAACCAACCAGCATCCATTTCTCATTTTACACCCGGGAGAGCCAAGGCTCCCACACGTTAATTGAGTCATTCAAGGTCACAATGACCTCCAACAGGGGTTCTGCCCGGGGCCTTATGAGAGGGATGGGAAGTCACCGAGCCCCAGACATGGCGTGGGGCAGAGAGTGGGAGGCGGGAGCCTGGCCACTCCGACCACAGCCCGACCTCCCAGCTGCCAGGCCCTCAATGCTGCCTGTCTTCCTCCTGCTGTTTCCGTCAGGGTCACTGAGCAGGTGCACAACGGGGCGGAAAGCAGGTACCTTATCAGGAGCAACCAAGGTGCTCAAAACCGAACCACTGCCCCTCTCTCTGCTGGGAATTCTTTTTAAAAATTTATTTACTTTGAGAGAGAGAGAGAGAGAGAGAGAGATCGGTCTTCCATCTACTGGTTTACTCCCCAAGATGGCCACAACAGCCCCTCGCACTGGACCAGGCGGAAGCCAGGAGCCTGGAGTTTCATCCGGGTCTTCCACATGGGTGACAGGGACTAAAGCACTTGGGTCATCTGCTACTGCTTTCCCAGGTGCATCAGCAGGGAGCTGGATTGGAAATGGGGCAGCTGGGACTCAAACCAAAGCCCTTATGGGGTGCTGGCATGGCAGGGGGAGGCTTAACCCACCGCACCACAACGCTGACCCCTCTGTTGGGAATCAGGACAACATTGCTGGGGTTTCCACAGCCCCTTAGAGGGCTGCCCTGTCTGCTGGAGCCCTCGGCTGCAGCTGCTGCAGACCCAAAGCTCAACCCTTCATCAGGACCCAAAGCTCAACCCTTCATAAGGGTACAAGACAGGCAACAGCCCACCGGGAGGGCCAAGCCCTGGCCAGGCCCCTCTCTCCCTGCAGTGTCAGGTACAGAGAACTTTCTGGAAGTGAAAGACAGCATGGGAATCCACAAGGAGCAGCTCGTGAAAGCAAACTGCCACTGGGAGGGGGCCCGTCTGGGTTTCCATCTCCCCCTCCCCTCACAGGGTCCCAGCAGGTGATGGCACTGAACTGCCATCTCCAGGCCGCAGTTGGGATGTCTCGCGTGCCCTCCACTGTGCTGGGAGCCCATCAGCAAGGCCCGAGCAGAAGGTTGCTCCCATGAGAACGGCTCCCCAGAACCGTCCCAGAATCTGCGGTCCCACGAGGCCAGCTCTGCTCGTCCCCATCACCCTGTCAGGTCCCCAGACCTCTCTCTCTCCTCCATTCCCGCCTGTGCCCTTGCCTCCCTCTTTGTCTGCCTGACAAGTGGCTGCCGAGGCTGAAGATGGAAAACCCACCGCCAAGCTTCGGAAGTAAAAACACCCCGGCTGGCTTTATTAATCTGTAAAATGCCCTCCAATTGCTGCCGCGCCGAGAGAGCTCTGTTCTCCCCGAGAACCTCGTAAAAAAGTGGCAGTGTTTACAAGGATGACTGCAAAATAGAGCAGTAGATCTTTCTGGTAATGTACAAGGTGATGCAGTAATTGCTATGGAAACCAGTCATTATAATTCAATAAAAAGGGAGGGAAAAAGTTAAGTTCATTGTGTTACCTATGACTCCGTTGGCAAGTTCTTTACATATATTTGCATAAAATCAGGTCTCACTTTGATGGACAGGGCCGTGGCCAGCTCTGGCACCCCCCAGGGGTCTCTAGGGGTCTGCACAGATCAAGTTCTAAAGAGGAGAACAAAAACTCACTTCGCAAGAAATCGCCCCTTCTCTCCTGTTCCTGGGCAAAATACGTGCTGTTTCTCCATCCATGTACACGCAAGGCTCTGGCAGAGAATCCAACTTGTGCAAAAGGAGTTTTCTGGGGGCCAGCACTGTGGCGTAGTGGGTAAAGCTGCTGCCTGCAGCACCAGCAGCCTATAGGGGCGCCGGTTCGAGTCCCAGCTGGTCCTCTTTCAATCCAGCTCCCTGCTAAATGTACTTGGAAAGCAGTAGAGGATGGCCCACATGCTTGGGCCCCTGCACCCATGTGGGAGACCCGGAAGAGGCTCCTGGCTCCTGGTTTTGGTTCGACCCAACTCTGGCTGTTGCGGCCATTTGGGGAGTGAACTAGTGGATGGAAGCTCCATCTCTCTGTCTTTACCTCTCTTTGTCTGTAACTCTCTGTTCTTTTTTTTTTTTTTTTAAGATTTATTTATTTTACTTGAAAGTCAGAGCTACACAGAGAGAGAAGGAGAGGCAGAGAGAGAGAGAGAGAGAGAGAGAGAGAGAGAGAGGCACCCCGCCCGCCTGCCCAATCCAACGCCCGCACCCTTGCTTTTCCTGGCAGGTGCACCTTGGGAAATAGATTTGCACCCAATGCCATCATGACAGCAAGGGGGTGGGAAGAACCATGTAGGGGAGGCTGGCAATACCTATTTCCGGCAAAGGGAGGGAAAGCGGTGGGCGCCCGTGTGTTCCCCTGCTGGCCGCGTGGCTCAACGTCAGACCAGCAGTGGCTCTTCCTCCCGGCTGCCCCAGGGGTTTCCAGGGCGGGTCTCCCTCCCACGCAGTGACCATCTGGCCACTCTGTCCCCCTGTATAGCTCCTCTTCAGACACCTGTGCCCAAGCTGGACGTGGGCCTGTCTCTGGGCACGTGAGCACCTGCTTGGTTCCACTGCCTCCTCTGAGCGTCTTCCCCTGGAGTCTGGCTCCACGTTCAGCCCCAGGGAGGAGCTGCTTCCCACTGCACCCTCCATGGTTCCTCAGCCCAGGCGTCTCCCTCAGCTCTTCCCAGAGTGTCCCTGCCTCGGCCACCGACTCCCTCTACTGCAGTCTCGCTGTTGGAATACCTGGCCCGGCTTCCGCTTCTTGCCTTCAGCCTTCAGACTTCCTTCATCTCTAATTCTTTTAACTGATTAATTTATTGATTTGAAATAAGAGCAGGGCACAGAGAGCGAGAGAGAGATCTTCTGACTGCTGGTTCACTCCCCCAACGGTCACAAGAGCTGGGCCAGGCTGAAGCCAGGTATCTGGAACTCCATCTGGGTCTCCCACGTGGGTGCAGGGGTCCAAGCACTTGGGCCACTTCTGCTGCCTTCCCAGGCACATTAGCAGGGAGCTGGGTCAGAAGTGGAGCAGCCAGGACTTGAATCGGTGCTCTGGTATGGGATGCCGGTGTCTCAAGCAGCGGCTTAACCAGCTATGCCACAAAGCAGGCCCCAGTCTCACCACGTCTGAGCCACACTGCCCATCACCTGGGATCTGGTGCAATCTTCCTGGTCACTTTTTGATCAAGATGCTCCCCAGAGAGGATCAGCGCTGGTCTCTGGGCTGTCAGTGCCCCTCTCCTGGCTAGATCTCCTGTGCGCATCACCTTTCTGTGAGCCTGCATACACCCTCAGAATCCTTCCCAACACAGGGCTTCGGCACGGCGGTGATATGGGGTCTATTTTCCAAACTTTCCCCCAACAGCAAGTCCTGCCTCTGGGCTATGGCTTGTGAGAGTGTCGTGAAAATGTTTCTCACGTGTAGTGAGCGTTGATGATGCCCCAAGTTTTCTACCTCCTGCTGTGTAGCACCTGCAGAGAGAAAGACCCCACCCATACCAGCAGCCCTGTGTTGGTGTTGGTCCCATAGAAGCCCCTGCATGCGTGGCTCTGTGGTAGTACCTCCAGGAACTCTGTCCCTGAGATGTGATGAAGCCTGGCCGTTATACGTGGCCAACTCAGAGCAGCCCACGGCAGAGCGCTGTCACGCGTGGATGGCACCGTGGGAATCCTTACCCGCATGCGGCTCTCAGTCACAGCTTCTATTCCGGGACATTCCGCTGTGTTTCCACCAAGTCCTGCTTCCTTTTTAATTAACAACTTCATTTATTTCCCCTCCTTTGTTTTCTGATTCAAAGGGCAAAGAGAAAAGACAGGCAGATAGTCAGAGAGAGATTGATCTTCCATCGGCTGGTTCCCTCTCCAAATGCCTGCAACAGCCAGGTCTGAGCCAAGCCAAAGCCAAGAACCTGAAACTCCATCCAGGTCTCCCACGTGGGTGGCAGGGGCCAAGTGCTGGCTCCCAGAGTGCTGCCTCCCAGAGCGCACATTAGCAGGGAGCTGGCATCAGGATTCCAACCCAGGCGCTCGGGTATGGGGTGTGGGCGTCCTCGTGGTGTCCTCACTGCTGTCTGTGCCCAATGCCAGCCTCTCTGATCTTCTTCGACGTCTTCCAGGTTTGTCTGGAGCTTGTGTCCCCCCACCCCCACCCTGCAGCCCTGGGATGTGAAGTAGCAGCTGCAGACATTTCTGATCAAGAAAAGTGGGGTGGGGGGAGGCTATCAGCCACTGCTGGGTCCACGCCAGGGCTCCTGGATGCCGCTTCACATCCCACGTGTGCGGGACAGTCTGCACCAAAGAATTGTGTGTCTCAAGATGTTACAAACGTCTGCACTGAGAACCTGTGTCTCTGACGTTTTCTGGGCTGGTCACAGAGTCCTGGTATAGGCTACTTTTATTTGCTCAGAAATTCTCCTGCTTCTACATGTGTCAAAATTCGGCACTGGGGCCCAGTGTTGTAGTGCAGTGGGGAAGCTACCATTTGGGATTCTTGCATCCCAGTGAGAGACCTGGGGGCCTGGGCCACTCCGCTTCCCCTCCAGCTGCCTGCTGTCACCCCCGGGAGGCGGTGGAGGATGGGTCAAGTGCTTGGACCCCTGCCTCTCATGGAAGAGACCCAGAAAGGGTTCTCAGCTCCTGGCTTTTGCCTAGAGCAGTCCCAGCTGTCACAGCCATTTGGAGAGTGAACCAGCAGATGGAAGCTCCCCTCCCCACTTCCTTTCAAAAATAAATAAATTAAATCTTAAAAAAAAAAAAATGGACACATAGGCTGGCTAGCTGCCTCTGTGGCTCGGCCACGCCCGGTCTAAGGGCTCCAGGAAGACCGAGCTGCAAGCCCTTCTCCCATTGGCCTGAGTCGTGGACACCGGGACACGTCCTGTGTTAGGCTCGTTAGTTTCTCTCTTCCACCTGGAAATGCCCACATGTGCTCTCTCTGGCTGCAGATCCTTCCACCCGCCTTCCTTGTCCTTACAGGGCCAAGCGTCTCTAATCCGATCGAGTTGAACACTCACCGCGCTCTCACTCATTAGCCACAACCTGACAGTGGGGTCTGCATGGGGCTGCCGCGGTCGGCTACCCTTGCATAGCAAACACAGAGCCCTAACGTTTGCTTCTGAACTCTGCGTGTTTCCATGCTGGCTCTGCGCAGAGCACGAGGCGGACGGCCACCTCTCCAGCACGGCGGCGATGGCACTGCTTTCACTAGGACACTGAGGGGACCTCATGCCGGGTTCAGCCTTCTGGGACCATCTCGGCATCCGGTGGTAGCACGGCCACCACCCCATGGCCCCCTTTGCCTCCTGGGCTCGGCGACCTACGGGCGAGCTCCTCTCTGATCTTACAGAGCGGACTGTTCCTGAATTGTGGTATCAGAGGGCTGAACCCCCCAGAAGCCGTAACATTTCAGCATGGTCCACTCAGGGCACCCCACTTTCAATGCAGTGAGTCCACTTGGATTGCAAGATGTGAGGGTCAGCCAGCCCTGGGCATGGTGAGTTTGGTTCTGGAGAGCTTGAATGCTAGCATTTTAGACTTTGAGTATTATAAGCCACTTGGATGGGCAAATCTCAGAATTTTGTAATTGTAGGTCCTGTCCTCCCCCCAGGCTGTGAAGTCCTGTAACATAGCTTCCAGAAACTTCTAGAACTGCCAGAAGGGAGGACTGTGAAACCAAGTCCTGTCAGAGCCTCAGGACTCTGAAGCTCATATCAGGGCTCACCTGTCCTCCCCTGGTGGGCTGTTCTGTCCCAGACGGAGCCACCCACCATCAGAGGGGGCACTCTACCCACAAAGCCATAAGCGAGGCGTCTTCTGCCTCCACAGGCAGATCATTGCTCTCCCCCACCCCCAGGCAAGGGGCACAACGCATGCGAGGGCAAAGGGGAGATGCAAAAAACAGAAAATGGGTCTTGGAGTCAGGGAGACAACGGGAGTAGTAGAGACTGTGGCAGGTGACGGCTGGCGCGATGCCAGCCGACCTGTGCCAGGTGAGTCCAGGAGCCCATCATCGCCTGAGCTTCCAGGAGATGCTGGGCATGCATGCTTTTTTATTATTTATTTAAGGTTTATTTATTTATTTGAAAGGCAGAGTTACAGAGAGGCAGATGCAGAGACAGAGAGAGAGAGAGATCTTCCATTCATTGGTTCACTCCCCCAAATGGCTGCAATGGCTGAGGCTGGGCTAGGCTGAAGCCAGGAGCTTCCTCCTGGTCTCCCATGCAGGCACAGGGACCCAAGGACTTGGGCCATCTTCCACTGCTTTTCCAGGCCATAGTAGAGAGCTGGATTGGAAGTGGAGCAGCTGGGTCTCGAACCAGCCCCCGTATGGGATGCCAACACTGCAGATGGCGGCTTTGCTCTGAGGGCCACTTTTGGCCCAGACATCTCTGCTTTGCACTTCCTGCAGCAGCCAGCACCAGAGAACCAGAGATGGCGCCACTCCAGTCAGGAGCAAGGGACTCCCACTCTGCTACTTCCTGGCTGTGCAACCTTGGCGGAGTTCCTTACCCTCTCTGTGCCTGCTTTCTCCTCAGTCTGTGAAATGAGGCTTCACGACACAGCCTAGTGAGGTTTAGCTGAGTGCAAATATGCATAACCCTTAGGAAGTAAGTGTTGGTTGGCATCCGTGGAGGATTCGGTTTGTGGTAAGTGACAGCCATTGTTCTAAGCATTTCATAGATCCGCATTGTGGTTAAACGTAACCTTTCCCCAGCGTTCCTGGGCAGGCAGGGGGGCCGCCATGAACAGCTCCAGTTTGCAGATTGGAACACTGAGGCACAGGAATCTGTTTTGTTCTTTTTTTTAAACTTGCTCAATATCACACAGCAGACACGGGGCAGGACCTGGTGCAGGACCCGGCTCTCCAAGTCTGCGCTCCCTTCCTGTCTGAAGCGCCCGCCACCTCCCAGCCAGCCAGGAGCCGTGCCACCCTGCCAGCTGTCCCTCGCTGTGCTCCAGACACAAAATGACAATGAAGTGCAGTTTTTTTTTTTTAAAGAAAGAGAGGGAGAGGAGGGAGCAGAGGGTGGGAAAAGAACTGTTCTCTCACAAATTTCTCTCTGGCCCTCTTCCCAGACTTGAAGTTCCTGGCACGGTTGGCAAGACTTGGGGCAGGAGAGTGAGCGAGCAGGCAGCCTGCTGGGCAGCGGGGGGGGGGGGGGCGGGGGGAGGGTCCAGAGCTGCCCGCCCTCATTTCTCAGATTCTCCAGCCACCTCCCCTCCTCCTCCCTGCCCCTGCCCCGGGACCTGGGTACGAAACTTGTGCAACAAGAGAATACAGGAGAACCTTAGGGCCCCGTGCCTCTGCAGAGATCCAACCCCCCACCCCCGGCAATTCAGCCCCAAAGATGCTGCCTCCTTGTCTCAGACACACACACACACACACACCCTCACCTTGCTCCTTGGGGGGCGCTCCACGAGGCTTAAAAGACACCCTCGTCTCTTCCCCTCCCGTGTCCTGGCGAGATAACACCACCACTGGGAGACCCAGGACAATTTTTATATGGGATTAGAAAACAAAAATCAATATTTAATTATCTGTAAGCTTTTTGTGCCACTGAATCTTTAGTGTCCTACCAGGGAGCTCGAGCTGCCGAGGCAAAAGTGAGTCATTAAGGACACAGTAGCTCCAGCCAGCGCTTCTCAGAGCCTGCCCATAAATAGAGTCCCTGATCACTCCGCACACGCCAGCATTGTTATTTATCTCCACCATCTCGATTTCCCTCTGTTTATAGCAGATTTCCCCCATATATTCTGAGGCCAGGTTAGCTTGAACGGAGTTCGTGAAAAGAGACGCTTAAAACTTTGGAACATGCTTGTGTGGACAGATGGCAAGGTTTTCAGAAGCTATGGGGCCCAGAAGGCCGATCTGAAGGGTGTTGATTTTTTCCCCCTTTTTCTCCGTATTGCCTGCACTTCTCCCCCTAAGCAGGCTCGCCGAGTCCTTCGTCCCTGGCACCGTGGCTACAGCTAAAGAGCAAAGGGACTGAGCACAGGGCAGGCGACCCTGGGTTCTGGACCGCGTGGTCTTGCCTGTGTTTTTTTTTTTTTTTTTTTTTTAACGTGCCGGGCTCGACTGCAAAGCTGTGTTTCCTGAGGTTGGAAGCTCTGGCTTCACCCTCGCTGGTTTGGTCCTTCGCTGCCTGGTAACAGTCTGTTCGCTGACCAGCCCTGCCATCACAGGACAGAGTCCAGAGCACTGGGGGCTTAGCATGATGCCCGGGGAACCGCAGATGCACTGGAGATGCAAAAGGCACAGTTCAAGTTAAAACCGGCATCGGGGTGATCCCAGTTTCAATTTCTCCTCTGGAGCTACTGTCTCAGGGTTCCCGGGCTGGCTTAATTATCCTCTCTGGGCCTTGGTTTCCCCACGGAGTGACGTGCAGAGCCCGGGGTGCGGTGCAGAAGGCGCGGCGGCACGAGCTGACTTTGTGTCGTTAATCCTGAGAGTCACGGAACTCTTCAGAACGAACGTGAGATGTGGGGAAGTGAATGGCTGCGTGCGTGGGTGAATGAATGGATGGATGGATGGGGAGATGAATGGATGGATGGAGACACAAGTGGATGGTTGCACGGATGAGTGAATGAAAACACAAGAAAGGCTTTCCTCAGAAGCAGAGCTGGGCTCCGGGAAATACGACCTGGGGAAGGATTAGCGGCAGTTTTGCTTATTAATTTAAAAAATAAGGCCGGCTAGAAACAGACCAGAGGCTTGGTACAAATCTGCGTGCAATAAAAGGGAGCTTTACAACTCTGTCGGGGAAGGATTATTCTACAAACAGCCCTGGTACCATTGTTTAACTACTAGAGAACAAAAGTAGAGTTAAAATGTTACTTTATAGCCATCAGTTCGGGCGGGATCCAAGTTAAACTCTGTGAGCCCCCATGAAAGTGGGGCTTAGTATTTTATGACCTCAGGCATGAGGATGTTTGGAAGCATAAAAACTGCACAATACGCTCTGAAAGGAAACACAGATTTCATTAGACTGCATAAAATAACAAATCTGCAGGTGAAAATGTGTGAGCCATACCCTGGGAAAAATGGCTCCACCTCTGCTGGCAAGGGGTTAATAGATACACTACACAAAGAGCTCTTGCATGCGAAAAAAAAAAACATAAGCAAAGAAGGACAGCAACTCGGAAAAAGCGAACGATCGCCCGATTGTGAAATGAATCAAAGAAGGCATCAAAATGAGCAAACACTCGCACGGCACAAGCACAACCCCGTTTACGATTAAAAAAACACACACACACACAACTATGAACAGGCAGCTTCGAAAGGTCAACTCAACACACTGTAATGAGAATACACACTGCGTGTGTGTGTCCTGCCAAAGAGGAGCTCTTAGAAACTGGAGGTGCAACCTTTTTGGGGTGCAGGAGTAGCTGCTTTCTCTTGCACGCACTGGGACTTTGCACTCATGTTTATGCAGTGCCTTTGTGCAACAGTTAACAGATACAGCTTCAGCGATTCCCTGACTCAGTTTCCTCTCGGTGGGTGTGAGTGAGGGACGTTCCTTCCTCTAAGGGAACACTGAGAAGTATCCACGCTCTGATCGGCGACTCCCTTTTCCGGAAATCTACCTTAGAATAATACTTGTCCCTGTGCTTAGAGATGCACTCTCAGAGAAAGCCATTGCCATATTGTTAACAGTAGCAAGAAGAAATTGGAAACGACTTAATTACCCATTGAGAAGGGAATGGTTAAATAAACCAAAGGAGCTGCTGTAGGAAGTGGAAAATGGCTACACGTTACAATTTCAACCTCATGGATCACTGTAATAGATGGAACCATTAAGAATAACAAGCCAGATTGGGGCAGGCTGCCTGGTGCCCTAGGTGAAGCTGCTCCTTGGGCACCTTGCAGCCCATATTAAAGTACCTGGGTTCAAATCCTGGGTCCACTCCCAATTCCAGCTTCCTGGTATACATACCCTGGGAAGCAGCAGGGACCAGCTTAAGTCCTTGGGTCCCTGCCCTAGGCCCAGACCTAGCTGTTGCAGGCTTTTAGGGGAGTAAACCAGGATGGGTGGTCTCTCGCTCTCTTCTCTCTCTCTCTTTTCACCCCCCCACTTCAAATAATGTTTTTTTTTTTCAAGAATGAGCTTAACAGGTGCTGTACCACAAGAACATATCCAGAGTTAAACTGTTAAGAGAAGAAGCCATGTTCTGGAAAACACATGGAGCAAAGCCAAATTTGTGTCATTTATTTCACTGTGTGTATTACAAAGGCCCCTGAAAGACGCTGGGCTAGGTGAGCACACTCTCTGTATCCCATGGATCTCTACACTATGTGACATGAGGCTTTGTGTCTCACTAGAAATGCCTGCTCGCCTTGTGCACCTGCCCCAGCCCACCCCCTTGTGTCTGTGACTGTTTCTAAGCACAGTCTCAGATCTGGGCCTGGCTGGCTCGTCCTCCCGTGTCCCACTTCCTGCGATGCTCCCCACCCCCCACAGGCGCTCTTGCTACACTCCCATGCTGTCTCTCGCTCCAACAGAGAGAGAGAGAGAGAGAGAGAGAGAGAGAGAGAGGTGTCTCATCTACTGGTTCACTTCCCCAAATTCCCACAACAGCCAGGACTTGGCAAGATCAAAGCCTGGAACCAGGAACTCCATCCCAGTGTCCATGTGGGTGGTAGGGACCCAATTCCTGGAACCATCACCTGCTGCCTCTCAAGGGTGCATGAGCAGAAAGCTGAGATCAGGAGCTGAAACAGGGAATTGGACTCCGTCCAATGCTGGACACGGATGCCCTAACCAGTGACTTCACTTCCAGGCCAAACACCTGTCCCTTCAGTGGTAATTTTTTAATTTCTAAATCCCGAAGCCCTGAAATTAACTGCACTGACAGTTGCAGTATCAGGTCCGGCAACCTGAAGGGATTTTTTTTCCCCATAAAGTTCCCAGATGATCCTTGCATATACCCAAAGTGTAAGAACCATGGCCTTAGGAGCTTGAGCTCTTTGCTATAGTAGCACATGAGTGCTTAGCTTCTTGTCTGCTACCAGGCAATTGCTAGAGAGAAAGACTCTGCCTAGAGGCGGAGCGGCAGACACAGAGACACGTCCATGCGTGCGAGGCACAATCACACCTTGCCTCACACCAGAAGGAGCTCTGAGCATGCATGAGGACGTGATGTTTGTGGTTGTGGACCGAGCCCACGGAGCCCACCTAGGCAAACTAAAGCAGCAGCAGGGCCACCGGGCAGTATGGTTGATGGGACCATCACCAAGCATATAGGTCACTGCAGACCGAAACATTTTCAACCCATGACCGTGTACACGAGTCTGCAAAGATTTCCAAAAGATGTTTGCGCCCCAATGAAACCATCCTGTAACGCCACTTCATATGAACTTTTGGAAGCACCCTCCCATATGCATCTATGTAATTATTATTGTGACCATATTGAATCCATTACTTTGCATCTCAATGAGAAACTCCGCAGACTGCAAAGCATCATGCCGAACGAGGTGGTGAAATGTCCCCTCTCTACCCAGCTGTCACCATGAGCCAGCAGCCGGCGACCAGTGCCTCAGCCCTGTTGGAAGCAGGGCCAGGCTCTCAGTTGGGTATCTGCTTTGATACCTCTTTCTGGCACTGGCTGCTGGTGACGGAAGCCAGAGAGGAGCAGCGTCCGGCATGGCCGGTGCCCTGGCATCGGTGACGCAGAGATGTGTCTGGAGCAGGGATGTCTGTTAGCAACACTCGCCTCAATCCTAGGCTTGGCTGAGCCCAGGGAGGGAGGCCAGGATGGGAGTAGGTGCAGCGTGGACACCTCTGGTGTGGGGCTTACAACTCCGTCTCAGGAGCCCAACCCATCTGGCCGTTCTGCATCCTTAGCCTGGAGGCTAAAGTCCTGAGAGCCCAGGACCTGCTGCCTTCTGGGAGCTTGCGGTGGGCAGGGTGGGAGTGAGCGGGGAGGAGGGTGACAGCTGAGGCTGTGAGGTGGGGGGAGGTGGTAAGGGCCGCTCCCCAAAGGCCATTATCCAAATGCAGCTGGGATGGTTGCAATTCCTTGCAAACTGAAGTGTCATGTGCAGCAGGAAATCACAGCCACACAGCATGGGCGGGAGAGCACGGTGGGCAACAGTGCCAGATGCAGCCGGCGCTAGGTTCAAATGCCCAGCCTCGCCCTGCCAGGATGTGTCAGCTGGGGCAAGTTACTTGCCCTTTCTCAGCCCTTTTTTTATCCATCAGCGGCACCTCGCAGCACCGTGTCTTGTGAAGTGTGAATCCCTTAATATCTGTGAAGAGCTTAGTGCAGTGCCTGGGTGGGGAGCAAACACCCGGTTTGTGCACACTCGCCGTCTCCAGGAGCCTCTCCTGGGAGGGGTGGCTTCAGTTGATGTGGTTGTAAGGAGTCCAGCAGGCCAAGGTGGACACAGTATGAATCCAAATCAGGAACCCAGGTGCCGACACTGGCGTTGGTTGCTCAGTGAGCTGGCCAACTCCCTTCCATTCTGGAGTCTGCAAGCAAAGAGAAGAACCCAATGAAGTGACTGCAAGTCAGAGCCTTCCAAGGGCAAGACCCGCTGGGTCTTCTATTATTTTTAAATTTTATTTATTTATTTGAGAGGTAGAGT